GAGGCAGGGCTTAAAAGCCTGAATTTTGCCTGAAACTCTCAGACTGAAGAAGTCTCTTGGAGAAGAGGCGAAATGTTTCATTAGAGAAGAACCCGTCCAGAAGACCTATACAATTTTTTTGAATCTTTTCTCAGTTTTTGCTCTATGACAGGATGCATTATCATCTTGAAAAATGATGTCATCATCCCCAAATATTCTTTCAATTGATGGGATAAGAAAATTGTCCAAAATATCAAAGTAAACTTGTGCATTTAWTGAAGATGTACTGACAGCCATCTCATCGCCTTTACCTGACATAAAGCCCCATATCATGAATGAAGGTGGAAATTTGCATGTTCTCTTAGGTAGTGTTGTAGTACTTGAGTCCGGTCTTGTTCTAAGACCACTTTTTGATGGTCTTGTTCTTGTCTCAGACTCGACCACATTTATTCTCGGTCTTGTCTCGGTTTCGGACATTGAGGACTCAGAATTTTATTTCAAGACCAGTAAAGACCACAACTGCAGAAATATCATTAAATAGCCAGATTGTAGTTCAATTTATTTGTTAACATCTTTGCTTTCATCAGATTTAAAATGTAGCTACTGATTCAAATCCAAACCTGACTCATTGATATTWATGTATTTTTGTWACTGGCTGTCACCCATRCCCWCCACCCGTTCACTTSCAGGCAGCACTCCAGGAAAATGAGCAGTGGTTCTCTGGGAGAGGTAGAAGAGGTKTTCAAAWTTTTCAGTAAAACAATTTGGTTTCATACATTGTAATATTGTAAAATAACAACTAGGAGAAAGCGTACATCAATATGTAAATTCGGCAGTGCTTCACTTTCAGAGATGGTGGGGACATTGTTAAACTTTTATTGTCACTAACGTTAACAATCTGCCTCTGTAGCAAAATCTTTCCTCTGCCCTCACACAAAGATTTTGTCAATATWAGCTCTATGTATTAAGTTAGCTATGTGTGTACCGAATACTCCACCTTTTAGGGTATTATTTTAGTTTTTATTTTTATCTGGTCTTGYTCTTGACTTGGTCTTGGGTTAGGTGGTCTTGACTACAACACTGCTCTTCAGGCAGTCATCTTTATAAATCTCATTGGAACGGCACCAAACTAAAGTTCCAGCATCATCCCTTTGCCCAATGCAGATTTATGTCCAACATCTCTTGCAACACTGCGTGATGATTTACCGTCTTTTAAGAGTTTAATAATCCCCTCCGTTGTTTCAATTGACATCTCTGGTGTTGGAGCCATGATTCATGTCAGTCCACTTGGTGCAACAGCTCTCCAAGGTGTGATCACTCCTTTTTAGATGCACACTAATGAGCAGATCTAATTTGATGCAGGTGTTAGTTTTGGGAATGAAAATGTAAACGGTGATTCCATATTGTTTTCCTCAGAATTGAGTGATTACATATTTTTTTCCCTCTGCTTGGTCTAAAAAGTTAACATTACTGAGTACCACTTTTTTTCTTGATTACTTTTAGTGTTTCTTGAAGCCAGAAAGTCGTCATTTGAAATGACTTTAGTTTTGTGTCATGTCTGTGATCTGCTTTTTT